CGAGTCCCGGACCCAGTGGCTTAAACTCATGCTGGGCGCATGTGCATGTGTGCCCAAGATCCCGAGAGGAGAATGGAGGAGAAGGGATTGCGGCGTGGACATCCCCCCAGGGGGCGATTTCTCGCTTTCTATCTCTCTGTCTCTCTCTGTCTTTCTGGCGAGCACACACACCCTGTAGCAAAAACCTCTCCAAAAAAAAAAAATAAAATAAATATGAATTTATTTAGTTATGTTGTTTTTAGGGTACAGGTGCTTTTGCGTATAGGTGCTCACTGGAGAGAGACCGAGAGAGAGAGGGAAAGCAGGAATCACCCCCATGGGCGAGGGCCACGCCACAATCCTTTCTCCTCCATTCTCCTCTCAGGGTGTTTTGCAAGTTGTCAACTCTGGAACTCGAACCACAGTCAGCCATGACGGATCCAGCACAACTACCACGTCGCCTGCTGGCCAGGACAACACTTTCTTAAGCGCTCTTTCACTGCTTTTTCCTTGAAGTTAGATCTTTGCTACGTCTTCGAGTTTTTCTCAGGTGACTGGGTTAATTTTCTCTCTTTTTGAGCCCATATTAATCATTTGTATTTTCCTAAAAATGTCTCCATGTTATGTAGATTTTCTAACCTATTGGCATATGTTCAAAGTTTTAGAATTTTTAAAAATCTCTTCATCTTTGATTATATCCCCTTTCTCTGTATTTATCTGCATGCTCTTCTTTTTCCTCATTCAGGCTTAATAATGTTTGTATTATTCTAAAAACAAAACCAAAATTGTTTAAAAAAGAAAAAAAAAAGTAAAGAAACAAGAGAGAAAGAAAGGCTGTTCCAATAACTGAGTGTTCCTCGCCGTGCTCTGCAACATCACCATCTGCTCTTGCAAATGCTCCTGGAAAGAGCAGCGTAACCATGTCGTCCTAACGGGAATGCTGCAGAGACGCGGAGAAAGGGAAGCGGCTTCTTCCGTTTCCTGGCTCTTCAGGCCCACTCCCATACCCCCTTTCCACCGCCCACACAGCTCCACCACCACGGGGGACAGCTGGTTCCTGTGTGACTTTCTGCAAGACAAGCACAAACCTCAGAAAGGAAGAACAGGGTGTCCCAAAGGAGCGGCCGGGTCCTGTTGGATGGTCCTGGGCATCCCTGATTGCCCAGGTGGGGGCCGAGCAGCTGGTACCACACGCTTTCACTTTCCGTCTGCCTTACATAATTTCCAGGCTTCCTGCAGCGTCCTCCTCCCCAGCCCTGAACTGTTTACACAGTGACTCTTAATCCCAAAACATCCACAGACTGGCTTTCCCTGTTTGGAAGACACGCATGGCTGCATCCCAGGGTGTTCCTACAAGACCTTTTGCAGCGGTGGACAGAGCCAGCCTGTCTGACCAGCAAGGGCCCAGCGTGGCCTTTGTGATGCCATCAGCACCCCGACCAGCTCAATAAACAGTCTCTGAAGAGTAACGGCCCTTCCTTTTCCTTCCCACGTCCATCATTCGCGCTGATGATAAATTTGACTGAAGCACACACACCCCTTCCAGAAACCCCAGCCCTTGTTTTGGGAAAAACTTTCATAATCAAAGCCTTTGGAGAAACTGCTACTCTTGTCTCGAACTTCTCTGACTTTTTCCAGAGGCACTTCATCCTGCCTTAAGGGAGCACCACCTCCAAACGTCCTGCCCGGCTACCCACCCTTCCTCACACCCTCCTCCCCAGTAAGCATGCATGTCTTGTCTTTCAACGACCCAGGTGCTCAAATCACACTTACGTCTCAAGCGTTATTTGTAGAAAGTATTTATTTCAAACATTTACAAGTTTTCTTGAAATGCCAACATAGCTGGTAAAAAGAAAAACATGGAAAAGCGTATCATTACTGACCCTTTGCCCCACATAAAGATACACCCTGCGGTATTTGCTTTCAGACAGTTAGGTTTAAAAAGAAAGGAAGGAAAAAAGGAAAAGAGAAACTTAAACGATTATTTTTTTTCCAAAAAAAAGAACGTAGAGTTGAGGTACGCTATTTAACAGAAATGCTCTCCATCCGATAGTCTATTAATGAACAGGCTCGCTCTGCGTGGATCCAATCCTTTCCTTCTGAAATGGATCCATTTGAACATATGTTCCTAAACCTGACAGTGTTCCTTAGTCATCATTAAGGTTGCCATAGAAACGCCCTGGCGCTGGCGCCTGGCCGCACTGAGGACCCGAGGCTGGAAGGACCTGGAAGAGACACTTCAGAGTCTGGCACAGAGTCTGAGCCAGCTGGCCTAGCCCCCTCCAGCCACAGGCCCCCTGCCTACTGCTAGGTGGGAAATCAAGGTGTGGGTTCATGCCCCGTGGGCTTGGGAGTTGCCTCTGCCTCTCCAAATTAAGTTGGTTTCTCAACGACTCTACATAGAGCTGGGTGTCTGAATCCTCCCCACTGGCTCAGCCTTAAGGACTTGCAGTGCACTGACACAACTCAGGACCTAAGCACCAGGCGAGACGTTCCTGAACCTTCTCTGGGAAGCCACTCCCAGACTGCCTTGCTGGACTGTCCACCAGCAGGTGACCTATCAAACCTGGTTCCAGCAGCAGGCCCTACCCCAGCTTCCCTACTCCCAGAAGGAACGTCAGAGACTCAACCCACAAGGGCCAGCTCCTGCAGCAGAGAGCGTCAGACTTACCAAAGGCCTCGTAGACGTGTCCAAAGCCATCCCTTGAGCTATTATTTTTTTCTTTTTTTGGAGAGGTTTTTGCTATAGGGCGCGTGTGCTCGCCAGAAAGACAGAGAGAGACAGAGAGACGGAAAGCGAGAAATCACCCCCCAGGGGGGATGGCCACGCCACAATCCCTTCTCCTCTTGGGATCTTGGGCATGCACGCACACGCGCCCGGCGTGAGTCTAAGTCACCGGGTCCAGGACTCGAACCACGGCCAACTACATGAGAGTCCCGTGACATAGCCATTACGCTAACTGCTGGTCCCCCCTTGAGCTATTTTTAAACATATGTCCTTAATGCTAGGAGAATGAGCACTTTCATTTAGACCTTGAACCAGCATATTCTTGACTGTTCCCACCCAGACGGGTAAATTGTCACGTTTAAGTTGTCTCGGTCCCAACATTTCACATCTGGTTGTGTGGCAGATGGCCACGGGTGTTAGGTGAGTCACAGCACTGCCGAGGACATGTGTGCTGTAGAAACACAGGTAAGAATGACCCGTGGATGGGAACACACGACCGGTCACCACAGATGAGCAAACAGAGAACGCTTGGGGCTGAGCAAGGCCTGCAGCCCAGAGGAGACAATACCTTTCCTTCATTTACAGTAGCTTATACAGATAAAGGGAAAACACCCTCTTTGATACAAAAAAAAAAAAAAAGGAAAAAAAAGCAGTTCCGTTACAATAATAATGAAAGCGTCAACAACCTGCAGATCAAAGCTGCTAGCTGTCAGTGTGAAGGAGCTATCTGAATTCACATCTGCTGCCTCTGCGGCACCGCCTGGCTTTGGTAATATTACAGGCGGGTAAAACCAGGTAAAGGATTAAAGACCCGTGGGCACAGAATCACCCTGTCTCATGCAGATTCACATTTTTAATATTTCCCCTGAACAGCATTTTTGCTGTTCTCAAGTCCCAGAAACTTTAAAAACAAAAACAAAAACAAAAAAAACCCCAACACTTGAACACCTGCCTGCCTTTCATCGATTTAAGATGAATTGCCTGGAGTTGCAACGAGTCCTAAAACGTGCAAAGCCAGCAATGAAAACCCCTCCTCCCTCCAGATAGTAACAGCGGGAACCTGAGAAACAGTAAATAAAACACGTTGTTTTCATGCTTCTGCCACCTGGCTGGCGGGGTGGCTGTTTTTCTAAAAGGAGAGCCTAGAAAACTCTGTGGTCGGGTAGCTTTTGGGTCAGTGGTTACGTGACTGATTTTAATCACAGTTCCACTTTGGGATTCTTAAGAGTACCGTAAGGGTGACCGCTATGTTTGCTGAGTTTTCAAGCTTGAATGGAAAGGCAGCTGAAGTGGTTGGTCCACCATGTCAGCCAAACGATGCTTCAACACTAACTTAACCAATTCGACCTCGAGGAACTAAACAAAAAGAGGAAGGAACCAAGGTAAGGGATTTTCTGACGAACCTCCCCGTCTGGTAACAGAGGGTCAGGGGTGGGGACTTTCTAGACCCTTGCCTGGTAATGTAGGAGGCTTGCTTCCGAGCACCCAGACGTGGAGAGGGACACGCTGCCTTCCTACCCACCTGGGGGAGCAGTCACAGGGTGCTTTTCCCCTACAGCAGAGAAGCAGAAAATCTTTTTTTTTTTTTTTTTTTTTTTACTTTTTAAAAAAGAAATAGAATGAAACCGGAATTACTTCTCTGATAGGGAAACATTGATCTCCTCCCTTTTCACTTGACTTGATTTTGCGCTAAACACAGTTGGGTCTTTCCCCCTCCGTTATTTATATCCTAACACTCAGCAAATACTGACTCTTCCTCCCTCTCAAGAGAAACACAGTCAGCAGATTTTTTTAAAAAATCAAATTAAAATACATTCGTGCTGGGTTCTTTTTTTCTTCACGTGAGTATTATATTATCTTCCCTAGTTACGCAGATTCCATTGAAAAGAATTTTTTTTTTTTTTTTTTTTTTTTTTTTTTTTTTTTTTTAGCAAAGCTGCGGTGAAACAGTTTTGATCACAGCCCGGGCAGAAGCTCTCCCTACTGCCAGCTCTTCCTCGGGGGAGGTGGGGGACTGGAAACATGGGTTTTCAGAGGCTACAGCCCCCTCAGTTTGGCTGCTGCAGGGGACCGAGGAGACGCTGTCCCCTACTCCCCTCCTTCCGCTCTGGTCCTCTCCCCTGGAGTCTGGTGTCTGAAGGGGGAGCTGGAGCCAGCTACTTGCTTCTGTATTCAGCAAATGCCTAAAATCACCGTTCACATTTAGCAACATGCTAATGAGGAACTAATTATAATTCCATTTAAAACCCTCAGGCCCTGAGAGATTATTCGTCATCCCCCCCTCCCCACCAGCTGTTTTTCAAGGGTAGGGAAGAGAGGCAGGAGAGCTCTTCGCCAGGCTGCCTGGGGCCTAGCAAAACCGAACTGCTAAGGCACTTGTGTTTCAAGAGTTTGCGCTCCGATATGAAACTGTGCAGTGGGCCAGGAGCCAGATGACTTGGTGGAGGGGCATGGGGGCATCTCTGGCTGGAAGCCCATCTTCCGCCTCCCCTGACTGTGGGTGTAGCTGGTGGAGATGCTGGGGGTGTGGGTGGCCAGCGGCTTGTCCACTCCGAGGCCTCCCCAGCGCCTGTCTCCTGGGGTGGCCTGAGAACATTGTAACCTCTAACCCTTGAAGCAGAGCATTTAAGCAGAGAGGTTTGAAAATGCAGTCACCCCTTCCTCCTGAAGAGACGCAGCCAACATTTTCATCCAGCGTGGAACCTTCCACAAGGCTCTGCTGTAACAGTGAGGCCAGAGGCCCCACGCCCCTGAGATGTGCTGGAATGGCAGTGAGAAGCATCCCGTGCTAAGCTGGCGTGTGTCCATTGTCCCCGCAGCTGAGCAGCTGGTGCCCAGCCCTCCAGGTGCCACGCAGCCAGCTATCTGGGGAAGAAGTAGTCTCTGTTGCTGATGTCGTAAGGGCTCCGTGGGTCCCTGGCATCTGGTCGGCTGTGGCTCAAGGTATTGTCAGAGCCAGGGCTGCTGGGGGACACAGGCGGGGAGATGAGAGGAACAAGCACCAGGGTAGGCTTGGGCCTCTCCGGAACCAGCTGCCCCAGAGAGTACAGCGGGAGTATGCTCGTCTTGCCCTCTTTCAGAGCCTGCAACTTCCACGTCTTCTTGAACCTTCACACAGACAGAGACAAACACACAGATGTTTAGCACCCCTGTGATGAACCCACAGCAAAAACAACAGTAGGCTGCCCTGCTGGCCTGGGGCTCCCGGGGTTCCGCTCGAAGGACTGATAATTCTTCATCCCCTCAGCTGTCCTGTCACCAAGGATTTCACCAACTCCGAAGAGTTGGTGAGTTGCAGAAGCACCTCAAGAAAATAGGTATGTATTGCGTGCACATGGGGAGATTAAGACACTCATAGCCATGAGTGCTCTGAAATGTCACTAGACTGTCCCTTTGTCTCGTCCCAGAGGCTGGGAGGTGCACACCACCAGTCCCAAATCTACTTACTGAAAAAGAGAAAGAGGGGCCAGCAGGTGAGGTAGTGGTTAAGGCGCTGGATCTCACAAGGCCAACCGTGGTCTGAGTTCTGCACCGGTAGCTTGAAAATCACACCAGGTGCATGTGCATGCGTGCCCAAAATCCCAAGCAGAGAATGGAGGAGAAGGGACTGTGGCGTGCCTATCCCCCCAGGAAGGTCAGTTCTCACTTTCTTTCTGTCTCTCTCCAGCAAGTGCACACACCCTATGGCAAAAAAAAAAAAAACCTGAAAAAAAATAATAAAATAAAAATTTAAAAAGCTTTAATTGCCTTTAAAGAGAGAGAATATTCTTTGGTGGGGAAGGAAAATGGGCCTGCAGATGAAGGCTGGCAGGAAGCAGGGCATTTGCAACTGCCGCGTAAGAGCAAGGAAAGGAAAGGGCCGTGGGGCTGTTCGGCAGGCCTCCTGTTCCTCTTGCTTCCACTACTCCTGTCCTCAGCTCCCTGTGCTTCTCTCCCACCATGCCAGTGAGCCCTCAGACTCAACCGTGGGCACCACCGGGCACGAGTTGACTCATCCGACAGGAAAGTCAATGTTAGCAGGAAGGAGGTCGACATCTCGCTGATCACAGCTTCAGTCTCACACTCCACTCTGGGCCCAGAGCCAGGGCTCAGTAACTGAGAAGAGTCACTTGACAGTTCAAAGGAAGACGAGATGGTGACATTGAGCTCCAAGGTACAGGCAGGTCTCCTTCCTGAACGGGCCCTTCAACTAGGCTGGGGCACCCAGGGCCCCAACCTGGTCTCTCTTCTACTTCCCACTTTGCAATCAACGTATTGCCTATTAACCCCACAGTGGGAGCAAGATGGCCTTCCACAATTCCATCAAATGTCGGTTTCTCCAGGAAGGGTGGTGAGGAAGGAGGGGAAACCAGTGTCAAAAACAAGATTTGGTGATTTTTCCTTAGGTTTCTTTTTATATCGGCAGGCTATTCCTGTCCTTGTTATGATAAATAATTGATAGCTGGCTCCAAATTGGCCATTGGCTCTTAGCCTGTTTTCTCAATGGAATAAACAACCCTCAGAGTGTTACTGAGGGCTTCAGCATTTGGACACCACGCCGGAAGCAAGCCCAGCAGGGATGCTGCTGACCGGCGCTGGGCTGAGTCCTTGAGTGGTTCTCTTCCCCTGTGGAAGGACTGAGGACGGAGTCATGATAGTCTAGATTTCAAACTGTTCAAACGCGCTGACCCAAGGAATCCCACTTCTGGGAATGTATCCTAAAGAAATACCTGGCTATGGAAAAAGCTTTATGCACGAAGATGTTCAACACAGTGTTGTTTATAAAAGTAATCAAAACCCGAAGGCCCAGTAATAGGCTGAGTAAGTGAATGGGGATATATCCACCTAATAGAGGCCTACAGCAAATGGAAGTGAGGTCTATAGGTTCTTCATAATAACGTGAAAAAAAGAATGCTAAATGTAAAAGGTAGGTTTAGAGTTATAGATGCAGAACAACCATGGCTAATACGAAACCAAACAAGGAACTATGCAGAGGAAAAAGACTCAGGGGAAATTCATCTAAATATTAAGTGTTCTTGGTACGGGTGTGGATTTCACACATATGTCCCCTCTGTGGACAATCCTGGAGCTGTACACTTACAACACACGCATGTTTCTGTATGTCTTTTATACTTCAATCACATTTCCATTTTAAAAGCCAACAGTGAAATGAAAAAAAAAAAAAGCCAACAGTGGTCATCTTCGGATAACATATGATATTTTTTCCTCCTTCTATTTCTCAGTATTTAGCAAATTACTTATAATAATCTCTCACTCACACACACACACTTAGGTATGTGTGTGTGTGTGTGTGTGTGTGTGTGTGTATCCTTTTTGACCTTATTTAACCAATTTGGAAACAATCTCTGTTCCAAGTTGTGTGGGTTTTTTTTTTTTTTTTTCAAAGCAACTGAATGGGTAACTGAGAAAGGTGAGATTTCCTTTTGAAATATTTTGAGGACAGGATAAAACCTTTTCTGAAAATCAATGAGCTCAAAGGGGCCTTTGAAAGCAGCCAGCCTGGCCGGAGAGGCTGTGGGGCAGGCAGAAAGAAGAAACAGCTGAACTATCAGACTTCATTGTACCTTGACCTCACCTTTTATCCTTTTTATATATTTGGGCTTCATAAAGTTTTGTTAAAAGGAAAGGTTCAAAGCGAAAAGTTTTAAAAAACACTTACAACTCTTACTCTTTTTTTAAAAATGAGAGTAGAAACCAAGACATCTCCCGTCCAAGGTCACAGAGAATCTCTGCTGTACTCAACCACTTCCATGGTCCAGGACTCCATGAAAGTCCCTCCATTCTCTGTTGTGGAGGAAGGAGAATCTGCGATTTTTAAAACATTGGGAAAGAGCCAGCAGGTGAGGTAGTGGTTAAGGTGCTGGACTCCCACATGGCTAAGCATGGTTCAAGTCCCAGCGCCAGCAGCTTGAAATTCATGCCAGGCACATGTACATGTGTGCTCAAAACCTGAGAGGAGAATGGAGGAGAAGGGATCGCGGCATGGCCGTCCCCACTGGGGAGTGATTTCTTGCTTTCTGTCTCTCTGGCAAGCACACATGCCCAATAGCGAAAATCTCTCAAAATAAATAAATAATAAATAAATACTTGGGGGGGACAAAAAGGAGGAGGTAGGTGGTGGCATAGTGGTAATGCAGCTGGACCTACATGGGAAAGGTCCTCAGTTCACCTCCTGGGCCTCTCCTGAACATTCCAGGCCCATGCACATCCCCCGTAACCTGGATCTGTTTAACTGAGGGTGGATCACAGCATGAAGAACCTGCTAGGGATGCCTCTCAGAAGAAATAAATAAATAAATAGATTTTTAAAAATGAAATAAAATATTGGAATAAGATACTGCGTTCAATACAAAATGATTTCCCTGGGCCACATGGTGTCACAGTGGGACACAGCTGGTCCTGTATGGGAGGGTCTCGGGTTTACATCCTGGGCCACCCTGTACACACCTGGCATGCGCATGCCTGTGACCCGAGCTGGCTGAGGTGGGGGTGGATCATGGCATGGGGACTCTGGGTAAGGTTTTTCTCTCTATCTCTTTCATAGAATAAATAAATAAACTTTTTTTAAAAAGTATTTTCAAATCACAGGCATACACATAGGAAGTCCTCACTTAACACTAAGTTCATTCTAGATAAACATGTAGAAAAATACTTCTCTGTTAGAAAAATCCCACTTCCACAGTACCCAGTAGTATAAAATAAAGAGAATTCATGGGGAAGAGAGAATGGAGTTGGGGGGCGGGGGAGGGAGAATGGGATATCTTGAGAGAGTTCTTTTAAAACTATAAATCTGATCAGATTCATCTTTAAACCCTTTGACAGATATTTATTACCCTCAAGTAAAGACTTAAAATCCTCCCACCTCTTTCCAGGCCTCTCTTACTTTCCTACATCTCCCCCATTCTGCCACATACACACACATGCACGCACACATGCACACACACACTCGACCATATTATACTGGCTTCTCTTTTCTTCTCTTCCTCAGACAAACTCCTCTTCCTCCTTAATGCCAGGGAAGTTCTGCTCACCTCCGGCTGCTCTTTTTGTGGCTCTCCCGACGCCAGTAACTACTTCCCAGTGTCTGGCTTCCTCCCTAGCCTGTGCCCCTCCTGTCCACCGACAACAGGCGTGGCTTACAGCGGTCGCTGCGTGTGCTGTGTGTGACGTAGTTTTGGAATGGAAACATGAATGAATGAGTGCTCTGCAAATTTCTGGCGACTGAATGGGCAAAAGAAAGCTAAATAAGAAATATGAGAACAGCACGAAGCCATCCCCCAGGACCCAGCTCACCTCAGGATGACGCCAATGCAGAGAAGCATCCCGAAGGCCAGGCTTCCTCCAGCCACCAGAAATGTGGGCAGTGAGACCGAAGAAGTATCTTGCACTGAGGGGAAAAGAAGAGCGAGGATGAGAGAAAGAAAACCACTCAGCTGGTGCCATCGAAAGCATCAAAGGCACCCTGGCCCCATGAGGAGGACATGGCTCTGCCGGTCAATGGGCCACTGGACAGGTTTGCTGGTCTCCGTGCCAAACCCGACTCTGGAAGTGCTGCCTCCCCAGGGTTCCACCATTTGGCAAGAGGCACAACTCACGCTCAGTGTTTCTGAGTTCCTGTGGCCAGCCACAGACTCCCACTCACTTTCAGGATGGCTTTTCTGGTGCCCACAAGGCACAAAGACGGTATAAGAAACAGAAGGCTTTGGGGACCTCTTTGATGACAGTGCCACTGAGGATGAGGTCAGCAAGGCTCAGATGCTCTCAACCAAGTATTTTGGACCTAGTTTTCGCCGTTGGGATGCATCTCTCACCTGTCCCCACACTTGGCACTCAAGCCCCAGCCATAGGAGCGTCATGCAGGTCTCCAGCATGCCACATTCTCCTTCCTCCAGGGTCTCCTCTCCCAGGGTCTCCTCCCACCTCTGCGGGACCCAGATGATGTCCGGTCCCTACTGGCCTTTGGTCTCAGATGAGATGAGATCACTTCCTTTGAGAAGTGACCCCGCTCTAAGCTGGGTAAATGCCCTTCTTGTTTTTTGCTTGAGTTCTAGATTGAGCTCCCTGAAAGCGGGGGCCACACATGTTCTCTTCACTATTATAATCCCAGTTGCTCACACAGTGTCTAGCTCAATGCGGGATCTCCAAAATATGTCGCCGAATGATGAAAGGACAATACAGCTTTCATGAGAAGCCATGACTTCACACCAAAAGATTTTCCTGCAACTGCCAGAGAGAGACCCTGGACTGGGCAGAGGGTACATCTAAACAAAACCATCATTCCTTCCTTGTGCTGGGGATATACTCAGTTGCAGCTGCATTGCCCCAGGATTCAGGCTCTTCTACTCCAAATGGTATCCACTGTTGGTGAAGATGCCACCTGCCAGTCAGCGTTTGAGATGCCCACTGGAGGCGGGCATGGCGGAGTCCAGACAGGTGAGTTACTACTCCCTGCAAGGACAGCTCTCTGAGTAGGTCCCGTGTCTCCACATAAACAGCTGTGTAATGAAAGCAGCATGCTTGGCTTGCTCATTTATTAATATTTCAACATCTTTTATACTTTTTTCCTTCCTTCATTCAACAAATATTTATAGAATGCCTATTATGTGCCAGACTTTGGTCTAAGCCTCAGGGACACAGAAAAAGCATAATAGAAAAATCTCTCCTCTCCTGGGTCTTATATTCTAATTAAGACAGACAAACAAACAAACAAACAAGCAATATGATGTTCGCAGTGACAGAGGCGGTGATGAAAAGGAGAGCCCAGGAAGGGAAGAGAGTGAAGGTGGGGAGGCGCTGTCAGATGCAGTGGTCAAAGAAGAGCTCCCCAAGAAGGGGGCATCTGAGCAGAGACCTAGGAGGTAGGAAGGAGCTGGCCAAGTGGAAGTCAGAGGAAGAGCATCCAGGAGAGGAAAAAGACCCAGGGAGAGGAAGAGCACCTGGGAGAGGAAGAGCACCCGGGAGAGGAAGAGCACCCACCCGGGAGAGGAAGGAAGAGCACCCGGGAGAGGAAGGAAGAGCACCCGGGAGAGGAAGGAAGAGCACCCGGGAGAGGAAGGAAGAGCACCCGGGAGAGGAAGGAAGAGCACCCGGGAGAGGAAGGAAGAGCACCCGGGAGAGGAAGGAAGAGCACCCGGGAGAGGAAGGAAGAGCACCCGGGAGAGGAAGGAAGAGCACCCGGGAGAGGAAGGAAGAGCACCCGGGAGAGGAAGGAAGAGCACCCGGGAGAGGAAGGAAGAGCACCCGGGAGAGGAAGGAAGAGCACCCGGGAGAGGAAGGAAGAGCACAGCGTGGCTGGAGGCGTGTGTAGGGTGGGGGATGGAGGGGGGCTAGAAGGCTGTGCTAGGGCTACCCACAGAGACTCAGAGACCTTGTTAGGGCTTTAGCTTTTACTCCGGGGGAGTTGGTGTTAAGCCAGCAAGAGCTTGTGTTCCAAGGGTCACTCTGGGTGCTGGCTGGAAAGGTCTGTTGGGAGTTAAGATTAGAAGATGGTATGGCCTGGCAGGTGGTGTGGTAGTTAAGGGCGCTGAACTCCCACATGGTCAACCACAGTTTGAGTCCCAGACCTGGCAGCTTGCTTTCTCCCTTCCCCCACCCCTCTCTCTCACTTACTCACTCTGTCCCTCTTTGATCAAATTAATAAGTAAATAAATAAATAAAGTTAAATACGATAATTAAAAAAAAGATTAGAAGATGGTAAGGGTCAGGAGGGCGTGGTGGTTTAGGGCGTTGGACTCCCTCATGGCCGACCATGATTCGAGTCCTGGACCTGGTGGCTTGCTTTTTCCCTTGCCCTGCCCCCGTCCCTTTCTGGTCAACTTGAAGGGAAGGAAGAAAAAGGAAAGGAAAGAGAGAGGGAGGGAGGGAGGGAAGAAAGTTAAATAAAATAATTCTTTAAAAAAACAAAAGGAGATGGCAGACCAGTTGGCACCCCTGAAGGGCCTGCAGGATGAGAGACAGCCACGGCTGTACCAGGTGTTGGCATTGAAGGAGCTGAGACGTGGTCAGATTCTAAACGTATGCCAAGGTGCACTTGGCAGGGCCTGCTGAGGGACTGGCCATGCAATGAGGGGCAGGCGAGTGGCAAGCCTGGTCCCCTCACATGAGCAAGGCAGCAAATGTGGGGCCGGTTCCTGGGAAGGGGAAGCTGGACACAGAGTTGGGTGGAGATGTGGGGAGGCATTAAGCGTTCTCTTCTAGACGGGTTCACTCTGAGATCTCTAGTAGGCGCATGAGAAGACGGGCCAATGAGGCAGGTGCACACATGAGTCCAAGTCTTGGTGGAAAGGTCAGAATGGGAATATATATTTGCATGCGGTCAGCCCATAGTTGCTTTTAAAAACATGGGCTGAGGGACAGCGGATGGCCTAACAGTTACATCGGTGGACTCCCACGAAGTTAAATGTGCTTCTAGTCCCAGACTTGGTGGCTTCAAATCCACACCGTGAGCATGTGCGTGCGTGCCCAGGATCCTGAGAGGAGAATGGACGGGAAGGGACTGCAGCATGGCCATCCCCCCTGGGGGTGATTTCCCACTTTTTGTCTCTCTGTCTCTCTGACTAGCACATGCACCCTATAGTAAAAACCTCCCTCAAAAAACTAAAAAATAAAAAAATATAAAAACAATTAAAAAAAACAACAAACAAAACATGGGGCTGGATGTGACCACCAGGAAGGGTGGGTAGAGAAGTCTTGGGGGCCGTGAGCTTTTTGTGATCCCACAGCTGGAAAGGCTCTGCCCTCTCTAAACTCCACTTTGCTTTATCCACGCCTCCCTCCTGGCCCCTCTCGCACTCTGCTCCGGTACAGACACTAGTTCACTCTTTGCCAGGCCTGTCCCCTCACACACTCTGGAGCTGCCTTGAGAACAGGGTGGGTTGACTGTCCCGAGTCCCAGCTGTGCAGACTTAGCCCCAGCTACTTGGCCGGCCCCCTGTAGGCACTGCGCCTCGGGCGGGCTTTGAGCTGGGGTGGGGCAGCCTAGGCAGCCAGCACCAGGTGCCGCA